AAGAAAGAAAGAAAGAAAGAAAGAAAGAAAACACAAGGCCGCCAAGCAACTCCCACCAGGTCACATGGCCGGCAAGCCACTCCCACAAAGGAGGCCACACCCACAGAGTAGATTCAAAAATGTTTTGAAACCCACCACTGAGGCTGACTCAACAAACCGCTTAGAGAGGGCTGTAAAGCACTGTGAAGCAGTATATCATATAAGTGGTATGGTGGTGGTATTACCAAAGCTACAAGGAGGGAAACCAACAGACAGTGTCCTGATTCACATGAGTATCGATGCAGGAGTAGAAGGAGAATGCAGAATCAGAGTTGCAAGATTCTGTTATTATAGCCAACTAAATATATTATATTAATATATGTTACAATAAACTATATTAATAAATGTAGTTACAGCCTTCATATAGAATTGATGTATGCTTGGTCTACATAAAGGCGTTGGACACATTATTACCATCTGTGAATACTGAGATCAATGGATCATGGCAAACACAGGAGCTACTATCCCAGTGTGTAACACAAGGTGGTTCTTTAAGTATCCCAGTCTCAGGCTGTTCAGGTTGCTTCAGATCCTGAGCAAACATGAACAAAAAAAATATCATCTACCCATTTGACTCCATGTAATTTGTTCTAATCTTAACTCTAGCCTTATTAACCCAAATTCTGGACCCTGTTTTGCCATAGAGCGAGAGGGCAATGGAGTGTGGTGTATTTTAAACCATATTGATTGAGGCAAATCAAACCTGCTTCCTTACCTTGAAAGAACAACATCCAAAGGAAATGCCTCATCATCAGATCATGTAATTCCCAACTCTGGGGAAAGAAAAGCATTTGGTTGACAATGACCTTCATCATTCATGGGGAATACACTAAGAGGTGATTTTGACCAACACATCAGTTTAACTAAAAGCAGAGGTGGGTTCCTATCAGTTCACACCTATTCGGTAGAACCGGTTTGTCAAATCTACCGAACCGGTTAGAAGTTCCACCAGTGGACCTACAGAAGAGGTTCCAAAATTTTTTGAAACCCACCACTGGTCCTTGGATACGATTATTCTGCACTATCATGCTCATATTTATAAAACTCAGTGCCTCTGGGAAAGGTAAGGATGACTACTGCGTTTGTGGTGCAATCAGAACATTGCGTGTGTTGANGCAAGCCACTCCCACAAAGGAGGCCACACCCACAGAGTAGGTTCCAACAATTTTTGAAACCCACCACTGTACCTATCCATCTGCCCATCAGCCCATCCATCTTTCTGCCCACCTGTCTGTCCATCTGCCTGTCCATCCATCCATCGGTCTATCTGTCTGCTCACATGATGACCTCGGTCTATCTGTCTGTCCATTCAACACCAGGATTAAAAGTTGATGGAGATTCTCAGTCATCCAGGTCATGGTTGTCCCAAAGGTGCTTTTTTCAAGAGGCAACTGGGCTTTCTGCTTTTTCTTTGAAGACACTTCGCTTCCAAAAAGAGATGAAGAAGCTTCTTGGATGAGAAGCGAAACATCTTCAAAGAAAAAAACAGAAAATCCAGTCGCCTCTTGAAAAAAGCACCTTTGGGACAATCAGGATTGAAAGTTGATGTTTTCTTATTTGCCTATAGAGAAGAAACGGGAAATGGGATGGATTTGTAATAAGATCTGTAATCTTATAAAGGGGGGAAGAGTTACTAAATTTGTCTTATACTTGGGAGGAAGCTTGAAAACCATTTCTTTATGACTTTTTTCTTTTCCTGTCTTTTCTTCTTCTTTTTTTCCAGGCATTTTTTGCTCTTTATATTTTCTTCTCTCCTTTTGAGTTCAAATTGTGTTTGCGTGGGTATTTACTATTATTAAAACTTTGTCTGTCATCTTCAATTGGGCGAAATGGTGTTTCATATTGCAACAATTTTTTTGAGCCAATATACTTTAAATGATAACTTACAGAGTTCAAAACCAAATTACTCCAAGTGGACTTGAAATTTTGCAAATTCATGGACATATTGCAATGCATTTTGGAGAGGAAGCCCCTGGGGTTGTTGTGTCAAGAGTTGGCACATTCTAACAACTCTCTGCATAACTGACCTCTTCTGACTGATGAAACTGCTTCGATGAGCAGCGACATGTCTCAAGTTAACAAAGAAAAAAAAACCAGTCCAGTTTCCAAGATGCAACTGTCAGAAATCTTTTTCCTGGAAGGCTGAGAATTTTCATTGACATCCTTCTCATTATTTAAGTACCCTGGAATGCAGCCCCCAACAGTGATTGACAACTGTGTGGCAATCCCACTCCCATTTCTCTCTGACTGGCCAATGAGGAAGGGGCAAGTGGGCAGGACAAGAAGCAATGGGTGGAAACTAATCAATGAGAGAAGCAACCTAGAACTAAGGAGAAATTTCTTGACAATTAGAACANGGCTGAAAGCCCTATGAAGCGGTATATAAGTCTAACTGCTATTGCTATTGCTATTATTTGTACTCATTTTCTTTTTTCGTGTCCATGTCCATACTTAGACCTGCTATCCTGTACATGTTTGACAAACTAATAAATAAATAAACAAATGAATGAATACCCTGAGGCTATCTAATCCACCCCATCCAATAAGGTCAGTTAAAAGAAAAGGCTGAGAACATATCTACAACTCAAATTTACCTTTGCCCTCCCAATGTATATTATTTTTTACAATTTAATACCCTGCATTATCTGGAGGAAAGCAAAATAAAATAAAGGTGAATTAACTCACCAGCCAAATAGAATTTCAGATCCACTGTTCTTTTCTGGAAATGAAGATTTAGCAAACAGGACAGAAAAGCAGAGGGAAGTTCTGTTTACATCTGCGTGGTTTTTTTTCCCCCAAATCAAATGTTTGTATATCTGGGGAACATTTAAGTGCGATAATGGAATAAGTCAAGGACGGTTATTGGCAACTAAATAGCTGACATTATATCTGGCCATTATATTTTCAAATGGGTGGAAGAAGTTAGAAGCTTGATTTAGGTGGTGTTGCACACATAATACTGGATTCTGCTTCTAAAATATGTGCAATTAAAAAAATCACCAAGATCTTTCAGTTCTCACTGCAGCTTGGAATTTCTCCCAGGCAAAGCAGCGTTATTGGACCCTGAACCATACTTGTCTTTTTGGGTTGGCTAGTCTTTAGATAGGAAGGGTTGTGATTCTTTCTTTCAAGGTAGAATTGTGTGGATGTTTGAGACTCTGTAACACAACTGCCCAGATCAGCATTAACGTGATTGAGTTCCTAAAATTTCTAAAAGAACAAAGTAACCTAGTATTAGAACATTGTACCTGGAATGTCCATATAGTTTCCCAGAGTCCAGCTCAGCTCTACTGATATTATCATCATCATCTTTTAATGATCCCATAATTCCTTGTAGGGTGGAGTCTGCGCAACTGAATGGAGCTAGCAGAGTGTTTATTGGCCCGATGCCCTTCATTTCACCAATGTGGAGTTTTGTTCCACAGATATATTCTCATTGTGCCCAGAGAGAGAAATATCTACGGTACCTCTACCTAGGATCGAACTCACAGTCTCCTGATTGTGAGGTGAGAGCTCCACCTCTAGGCCACCACACCACTCCTCAGCTCTACTGATGTGGGTACAGGATATCTGAGGAACTGTGTTGCCCCAATGGAACTGTCCTGCCCCACTTGTTCTAATAGAAGGGCCTACTGGGGTATAGAAGAGCCTTTTCTGCCATGGTCCCTGCCCTTTGGAACATCTTGCTTCTGGAGATGAGATCTTCTTTCATTCTTCAGGCCTTCAGGGAGAGCCTTAAAACTGCCTCTGCCCAGTTAGTTTGGGGCCCTGATAGACAAGCTGTAGGCCAGAGGTGGTTGGTGCAGTAACAGAGAAGGCACCACAACCGCTCTACCCCATGGTCATTTAGTCTGCAACTTAATATTTTGTAATTTTTAGTCTGTTTTTATACTTACACTTGAATAGAATATTCATTTTGGTGAATAGAATAGAATAGAATAGAATAGAATAGAATA